ATTATTTTGTATTGTAATTTATTTTCTGGTTTTAGTAACTAGAAAATTAATTTTGTTAATTTATCATAGTTCTTTTGACTTTATCGTAGTACATGGGAGAATTTGTTTCTAGAGTAAAATATTAAATTATAATGTTGATTGAATATCCATTTGTGCATTTATTTTCTGTTTTAGAAATAACTGCTTTGGGCTATCGGTGGAGGATAGTCGTGATTGTTGTAGAGAATGTATGTTGATTAGGTAAACGGAAACTAATCAATGGAATGTGTTATGGAACTTGACAGTTGCTTGAATACATTAATTGTTTGTATTGTGTGATTGTATATAGAACCAATGTGTTTATATACGTTATGTGTAGAGGAGGAGATAGGGGATGTACTCCGCGGTTTAGGGGAAGATAGGGGATGGACCTCTAAACCGGATAGGTATTTGGAGGAGATAGGGGATGTACTCCGTAGACAGAGCTCATATCCTTGTCTAGAGAAGTGTAGATAGAGCTCATATGCTTGTCTAGAGAAGTGAAGATAGAGCTCATATGCTTATCTATTAATGTGTTGACAGAGCTCATATGCTTGTCTAGAGAAGTGAAGATAGAGCTCATATGCTTATCTATTAATGTGTTGACAGAGCTCATATGCTTGTCTAGAGAAGTGAAGATAGAGCTCATATGCTTATCTATTAATGTGTTGACAGAGCTCATATGCTTGTCTAGAGAAGTGAAGATAGAGCTCATATGCTTATCTATTAATGTGTTGACAGAGCTCATATGCTTGTCTAGAGAAGTGAAGATAGAGCTCATATGCTTATCTATTAATGTGTTGACAGAGCTCATATGCTTGTCTAGAGAAGTGAAGATAGAGCTCATATGCTTATCTATTAATGTGTTGACAGAGCTCATATGCTTGTCTAGAGAAGTGAAGATAGAGCTCATATGCTTATCTATTAATGTGTTGACAGAGCTCATATGCTTGTCTAGAGAAGTGAAGATAGAGCTCATATGCTTATCTATTAATGTGTTGACAGAGCTCATATGCTTGTCTAGAGAAGTGAAGATAGAGCTCATATGCTTATCTATTAATGTGTTGACAGAGCTCATATGCTTGTCTAGAGAAGTGAAGATAGAGCTCATATGCTTATCTATTAATGTGTTGACAGAGCTCATATGCTTGTCTAGAGAAGTGAAGATAGAGCTCATATGCTTATCTATTAATGTGTTGACAGAGCTCATATGCTTGTCTAGAGAAGTGAAGATAGAGCTCATATGCTTATCTATTAATGTGTTGACAGAGCTCATATGCTTGTCTAGAGAAGTGAAGATAGAGCTCATATGCTTATCTATTAATGTGTTGACAGAGCTCATATGCTTGTCTAGAGAAGTGAAGATAGAGCTCATATGCTTATCTTTGTAGAATGTGGATATAGCTTGTATGCTTATCTGTGGATATTGTTGATATACATATCTGTTGTAGAGTGTGGATACAGCTTGTATGCTTATCTGTGGATATTGTTGTTATACATATCTGTTGGGAATGTGGATATAGTTTTTATGCTTATCTGAATGTGAGATATAGTTTTTATACGTATCTGTGGAAATGATGATAGAGCTAGTATGCTTATCTGTTGAAAAAGGGAAAATGAAAAGGTATTTGGGACTTGTAAGTCGTTGACATAAATATGTAATTTATGTGATTGTATCAGTGTAGACCGACTATCAATTGCTAATGTTTTAGTCATTGTCTATGGTTGGTTTAGTGTATTTCTACTGGGCTGTGGCTCACCCTATATGGGAATATCATTTTCAGGTACAGGAAGCATGCCACCTCCAAGGACATAGCTGGGAGGCTAGTGGCGGACATAGTTTTGTCGTTTTACTGTTGATGTATTACATGTAATTTCAAGCCAAGGGCTTAATGTGTAAACGAGTTAGAACTCTTTGTTGTAACCAAGTGTTAACTTGGAAAGCTGTAAGCCCGTAGGGCATTTCGTTATGAGGTTAACATGTAATACTTATGTCTTGGAATTCTAATGAATGAAAGGAATGCAGTTAGTTTAAATGAAAATGCATGTCTTATCTGATGGGTTTATTGTTATTATTTTGAGGGCGTTACAACTATTCACCCTCAAGGCATCTGAAATCTACACACTCAACATATTCACTCTTTGATTCTCTTTTCTTCTTCTCTCCTAGTCCCTGACTTTACCATCAGAGGAGTTTTTGACCAAACCCTAATCGGGCAGTCTCACCGTTTGTTACTATATACAGATCTTCAATTCCTGGAGCGTGCTGTTGTTCCACGAAATTCTACAATTCTTCATAGTGGAGAAATTATCCCTGCATAAATGGCACCGTCTATGGAAACCTAGCTCCACGTGGACCCACACCCTTGGGGGGCTAATGAGGGGTCCGAATGCATCCCACATCGATCCGCTAGAAACTCTTGACTTACCTTATAAGTGTGTCATACCCACAAACCTCCAAGAAGCCTTTTGTAATGAAGGAAGAACAAAACCGTGCGTACCTCCGTAATATAAAACGGACAATATCTTGGTACGTTTTACAGCAATGGGGTGATCCGCACACTTATGAAAACAAAGCTATTTATTTTTGTCCCTTTCTATTTTAAAGATTTACCTACAAATTCTGTGTTGTACACTTATATAAATTCGGTCTAAGTGTGAATCAATCCAATGGTGTTGATGTTCACCCGTGGGACTAAATTCATAATTTAGAAATTTTAAGAAATTTCATCCACCACATCATCACTAACAACTTCATCACACCACCACCACTACTATTCCATTACCATCACCATTACTCCACTACCACTTCATTGCCACCATCGTCACTATTCCACCACCATGCCACCATTGCTACCGCTGCCATCTCTTTGCCACTCCCACCACAACCACTACTCCACCGCCACCATTTATTGAAAGAAAAAAAAAAATTAATGAAGTAAATAGATTGATCGAATTCATTTATTGAACCTACATTCAATACAAGCCAAATCACTTAAACTCGTTTATCAAGTAGATGAATTTGGGTGCGTAACCTGCTTTGATCTATCTGAACCCACTTGGCTGCAACCTCTAAAAGTGACCTTGGCAATTGCATTTTTCACGTTGCATCTGCATCTCCCTTATCAGTTACATCTACAACTAAAAAAAATTAAGCCTTTTCTTTTGTTTTTGGGGCAAGATAAAAACAGTTAATGCTATGGTTCATGAGATTTAAGTACAAGATTTTAAACAACATATGCTGCGACACAAATTATTGGTATAAGACATAAAAAGTAAGATTTATTAAATCAATGCATAGACGATATATTATTTGATATTCAACATTTAGTCGCTACAACAATATTGAGAATGTACAATCAGCAGATTGCTATCACATCCACAAACACCACAGCCATTTCCAATGTTTTTTAGAACTTTCTGCCCAAACCTTTTATGTAGATCAATCATCTCATCCATGAAAATATTAATTCGAAAAAAAAAAAGCTTCGCCCAATAACCAAATGCAACAAGTCACATGGAATGCGATACTACTAACTCTTCCTTCAGAAAACCAAACTACCAAGCATTAGGTCAAAGAAAAAGATGAGATGAATCTTTGCTTAGGAAGTTGTTCCATAACCCGTCAATTTATTCAGGTGGAATATAAAACATTATTGGGATGATTCCTATCGCCAACATCCATATGCAGCGGGGAAAGCAAAAAGGCAACATAAAGGAGAAGAGAACAATGGCAAACAATGATTTTCAGCAATATTCCTACTTTGTACAAATGTTCTTTAAACCACAAAATACATTGAAAAGAATGGAGGTTTAAAACAGCAACAAACAGCAGGGACAACTAAAGCAAATCATGATGAACCGTCTTCTTCACAATCAAAGTTAACTAAGTGAAACTAGTTTTACATGTGATGGCGAACACAGGTGGGCATATCTAGCAGACTGTCTTTTAATACTCCTTCCCCCTTCAAGTAGAACAGCAACCGGACTTCTGATTGACAGGCTGTCCACGGATCTGAACTGTTGGAGGCCTGGCATTGTTCATTGCAGGTTGGCTTGCCATCCTGTAAATACCAAGCAAAAGACAGTGGGCATTGTCAGGTAAGATACATACAAATTATCAACTGCATTGGGCAATGGCAGAGCCGCTAAGGGACTTTTAGGAAATTACATTTCATACTAAGGTTTTGAAAATGTTTTCAATTTTTTCCTTGTAAAATTATATATATACTCTTTTTAAGATTTTCTCATTCTTCTTCCAAGAAACTCGACATGCCATTAATTAAAACATGGGCATAGATTGGCTCCTCTTTTATTACACAAATAAATCTAAGAAAACATTTCTTTTTATTATGTATAATTAATTGACATTTTTTTATTTGATATTACTTTAGAGTTCCACAGATTTCAATGTTAAAGACTGTTTTATTGTAGTGTATGTATCCTATTAGATTAGTATTAAAATATTGATAATTGATTTTTTTAAACCAAACTAAACTTTGTGCTTCAAACTGACCTAACCCAATAATTTTTCGTAGGTTGTGTTCGGTCTAGGATTTGAGGAGGATTTGTGGATGGAAAGGAAAAGGAAAAGGAAAAGGAAATGGAAATGTGACAAAAATTTCATCCATTTTTCCCTTCCTAATTATTTTCTCTACACAAATCCCTCTTCAAATCCTTGATCCAAAAACACCCTTAATATTTGTTCCCCTCAACTAAAATCCTAGCTCACCACTGGTATTAGGTGAAGAAAGTTATCTTCCATGTTCAATTTCCATACTGAACTAATGCAACATTGCATAAAAATACAGTACCTGTTCTTGATCTCAGCAGCCATGGCCATGAAAGCTTGTTCCACATTGGTAGCATTTTTTGCACTTGTTTCCAGGAAAGGAATTCCAATTTCATCCGCAAATTCCTGAACAAAATAAACAGGAAACCGAGTCATTAAGTTCTACAGTCAGTAATAGAGATCACCCACTAATGAATGAAATAAACAAAGTATATTAGCATTACCTTTGCCGTCTCATAGGACACAACCTTCTGTGCTGTGAGGTCACACTTGTTTCCAACAAGAAGCTTGTTTACATTCTCACTTGCGTAGCGGTCAATTTCACTTAACCATTGCTTGACATTGTTAAAACTCTCTTGATCTGTCACATCATAAACAACCTGCCAAAAAAACCATCAGAATAATATTCATTCCTTGATGTAATGAAAACTTGGGGGAATATGATGTATTCACAAGAAAATTCAATTACTTACAATAATGCCATGTGCACCACGATAGTAACTGCTAGTAATTGTCCTAAAACGTTCTTGTCCAGCAGTGTCCCACTTCATTCAAGAGAAAAGAAGGGGTGACAGAGTTGTTAGCAAGAAAACAATAACAAAGAATGAATAACAAAAAAAAAAATAGTCTTAAACAAAAAAATTAATCCTATAATTAACAGCTGGATTTTTTCATGACTAAAGTTATCCTTCAAATATTTATAGAATTTAAGTTTTTTTTTTTTTTTTTTTTTTTCTTTTTTTGGTGCAAAATTTCCACTGCAATATAGCAAAGGAATTTCATTATGCAGTGTCACATGCTATGAAGCACGGACACATCTCTGGAGGCAGCGTATGGGTGTCGGACACGGACACGCGGTAGACACATGTCCGACACTCGACCTAACGTGTCCCTATTTTTTTTTTGAATTTTTGCAGGCGGACACTCTTCTTTCAGACACGCTTGACACGTCGTGGACACGTTGGAAACAGAAAGAAACCCTAACCAGGAGACAGAGAGAAACCCTAACGCATTGAAGATAGAGAGAGAGAAAGAGAAAGAGAGAGAGAGGAAGAACCTGTTGAAGCCTAGATCGAGGCTAGATCGAGTCCTCTTCGTCTCTGATCGAAGTATTTCTTTCACGTCTCTGTTTGTCTCCTCTCTCTCTGTGTTCGTCTCTCATCGTCTTCATCTCCTCTCTCTCTGTTCTTGCCACTCGCGCTCTGATCGTCGCCGTCTCCTCTTTGCTCTGTCTCTCCCATTTTTTTTGTTTGACTCTTCACTTTTTCTTCCCTCTTCCTTTATTACCGTGTCACTCCCTCCCTATTCTTTTTATTCTTTTTTCTTTTTTGTACCTTTTTTTGTAAATAAATAATATAAATAAATACAAATAATATATTTATTTTTTAATTTTACACATAATAAATAAAATAAATGAATAAAAATAGTATATATTTTTTAATTTTACATATAATATATATAAAAAATTATATATATTAAACGTGTCCCCAGCGTGTCGTGTCCCGTATTTTTTTAAAATTTACGTATTTACGTGTCCGTGTCGTGTCCCGTGTCCGTGTCCGTGCTACATAGGTCACATGTTTTCCCAAAGACTCCTAACAAAAGCAACATTAAAGCTGAAAACTAAAATTTAAAGCCTTAATAAATAGAGAGTTTATGATGCAATTAAAACTTACAATCTGGAGTTTAATGGTTTTCCCATCCTGCTCGACTGTGCGGATTTTCTGCATTAGTGGACATAAAAATAATTACTACCTTACATTAATGTCAAAATAATATGATACAAGCCAAGGGAAATAAAAGAGTTTGCTTACAAAGTCAACTCCAATAGTGCTAATATAACTTTCCAGATATGAGTCATCCTGATTATAGAAATAATAAAAATGGTAAACAAAGTTAGCAGTAGTCTGGATACAAGAAGTAGTTTTGAACAATAACACAATCACATGAACATAACATGGAGAAATGAAGCATGCTTCCCAATTATAAAGCCAAACTGTTTATAATTGGTGAAGTTTCACAACGGCCGATATATGCCAACTGCGATTCTGTCGGTTTCTCAACCATTAAATCAGGGGCTCAACTCCTTCCTTCTCTTGCAAGTTAAAGAAAAATGCATGTACCATGGAACATATTAGACTTGTGCTTAAGTCAGAATTTTAGTACAAAATGTTACTTGTGTAATCTTAATCCACATCACAACAACCTCCCACTCACACAAGCACCAGCAGATCTGTTGCAAAACTAACCTAACTACTTGAGCTTGACTAGTCTTTGGCTCGTTTCATAAACAAGGCAAGCTTAAACACATTTTAAAATTAAGTTTTCGATCCAAACTTGAACAACCTACAACTCGCTTGATTCAGACATATGCACTATGAAAAACCAAGCTACTCAATTCTGGCTTGTCATCAATATGATATTTAGCTCATTTGACATCTGGTCAAAAGATAAACAAGCCAAGTTTAAACACGTTTTGAAACTAATTGTGCTTTCAAGCCAAACTTGAAATCTCGTTTACAACTCTATATATCTGAGTAAATGTCAGTATCCTGCAGGCCTTTAGTGAACAAAATCAAGCTAGAAATCTAAAATTATGCTTTGTAGCAGGTGAAAATCATATAGAGAAATAAAAAATTAGCTCAATCTTAAAAAGAAGACTTTCAAAGGAATCGTTAATAATACACATGTATGCCATGACAATTGCTCATAGACAATGAAGCAAGAGTTCATATAGTTGCAATTTGGGAGTATAAAAATAGATTGAGAATTTGACATCCAGATTCAACCAAAAGACAAAAACGAAAAAACAAGAAAGCTTTGAGATAATCTAAGAACTTACAGCAAACCTCAAAAGGAGACACGATTTGCCGACACCCGAATCTCCAATGAGCAAAAGCTTAAACAGGTAGTCACTGCAAGTAAGGACAATATATATATGTATTAGTCTTGGACAAAGAATATGGAAAGAAAAAAATTTACGAAGAATCCCAAATTTAAAAACTTTTTTTTAGTTCCGATTTCCAACGCAAACTCACAGTAATACAATCAATTCATATAATTCAAAATGGCACAGTTCAAAAGAAAATTATGAATAAATTCACAGCACTAGCTTCATCGATCACGGCCCAACAAAATTGACAAAAACTAGTGAACAGATCTGAAACCATATCACCGACAGGTCTATGGATCACATCACAAGACTACACCAAGCATGAAAACAACACCAAAAACCTAAAAATGAATTTCAAAAATAATAATAATAACCACAAAATCAATAAATTCGCAACATATTTACGAAGAACAAATCATTATAGATCTAGACAATGAAAAAAGAATACAACTTCGATAGGTTTGAATCAGCAATTTATAGGGAAACTTACTATTCAGGATTCATGGCTGTGTGGAATTAAGATGGATTCAATCGTCAACAATACGGTGATTATGCGTCTTTACGGCGATAATTGGCCGGAGTTTGCAATCGGCGCCGGGAGAGAGAGAAAGAAAGAGAGAGATTTGAGAATCGGAACAGAAGGAGGAATAGAGAGAGGGCAGTCCCAAATTCTTTTAAGAGCCAACAATGTCGGAGTCATGGGGTGTGGCGTATCAAATTGAAATACTGCTTGCCACGTGTCTGTCATATTAAGCTACCATTTGGGTACATAATAAGAGCCAACAATTTCTTTAACTTTTCATTTTTTTAAATCACCAGCTTGTTTGTTTTTGCTTTTTTAAAAATACTGTCCAAATTTTTTTTATTTTATTTTTTGTGTTTTTCTATTTTTACAATATTTTAAATATATTTTTTTAATTTTTAAACACACTTAACATAAATACACATAAAAAGTATAATTTTTGTAAAAAAACTATTTTAAAAATTCACTAAATATGAAAAATACAAAAAAAACAAGAAGAAAATTTAGTATATTTTTTATATTTTTATGTATTTATTAATTTTTAAAATATTTCTTCACAAATTTTTTTATTTTTTAGATGCATCTAAATACGGTGCTTCTAAAAAAGTTAAAAAAATGTTTAAAATTTTAAAAATATTCATTAAAAACAAAAAAAAAATGAAAAATATAAAACTCAATTTTTAAAAAATTTAAACCAAACAAACACATTATTTTTTCTATTTTTTTTAATAATAAGTTTAAAAAGTTTGCTTATTTAGATCCATTCAAACGATTTCTAAGCTTTAACTTGACTTTTTAGCTGTTTAACTAATTTAGGCCAAGTTTGACATGACCTAAATAATACAAAAAGTTAAAAAGTCACTATCCTATTTAAGTCACATCATCTTATTTAAATCACATCACCTCTTTAACACATCACATCAAACCCAACCCATATAAGCCAATAAGTCAAAAAGTACACTTTTTTAGAACATCTCAAACCAACCCTTAATTTGACTAAGTCTTCATTTGGCATGAGATTAAAATGAGATTGAGGGCTAAAATAGTTACAAAAATATAAAATAGATTAAAAAGTCAGTAAGACAAAAAATGACACATCTAAATCATAATTATTTTACTTTTTTCTCTCACAAAAGTTTAAAAAAATTAAAAAACTAAATCCAAACGAAATTTTTAGTCCCAGGCTAAAAATTAAAAAGTCAAAAAGACAATCCACTTTCCAAACGAAGCCTAAATTAAGTTCGTTTAAGAAGAATTTTTGACTTTTGACTATTCATAAATGTAACATTTTTTATTTATTAAATTAATTTATTTTATCTTTTTATACTAACTTAACCACTTTAATCATTTACAGACAAAGCCTAATTGGTCTCGGAGGTCTTCTTGTATATGTTGTGAGTTGTGTGTGACAAAGCCATTTTTAGGTCGTGATAGTAGTTCTATAAAATAATAGCAAAGCCTAAGTGGTCTCGGAGGTCTTCTTGTATATGTTGTGAGTTGAGTGTGACAAAGCCATTTTTAGGTCACGATAGTAGTTTCATAAAATAATAGCAATGATATGGATTTTAAATAAATATTTGATATTTTAGATTCTTACTTATTTTTATAAAACAAATCATATTATTCCAACTCGAGTCTTGTTTAACTCATGATAGTTGTTGATTTGATTAAAATTAATTTTAAAATAAATAAGTTAAATTTAAATACATTTTAAATTTTATATATTTGATTAAACGCCACTTATTTATAATTTATATATATATATATATATATTTTATCTTTTCAAATATAGGGAAATGCACTATCATAAAAATGTGGCTTCCCAAATAATGTCGGTAGAAAGAGAAGTTGAGAAAAATGTTAAACGTGAATGAAGAATTAAAAAAAAATTAAAGGAGTGTGAAATTCAAAACTAATTATAAGAATATGAATTTTTGATCTCTTAGCCCTTTTACTTTCTATCTCTTATCCTAACCTATAACAAATTACTTTTTTCCTATCTTACCCTCATAGTAGTCACCTCTTCTCCATTCTTAGCCCTAATCCCATTCTATTCCACCATCTTCCACCGGCACCAACTCCATTTATTCCCTCATTCGCCAAACCTACACCTTCCTCTACCACTACACCCTTGGTTCTTTTTCCATACTATCACAACATTTCTAATTCCTTTTATATACCACCAAAACACCCTAATCCCTTTACCGTTGCCACCACAACAACTCTAATCCCATGCAAATCTCTTTGCAAAACCATGGATTCTCCATTCCCCCACAGCATTGCCATCTTCAAACTTGTATGAATTTCTCTAATGGTCACAATCTCCTTCAATCCTTTACAGTAGTGATTTGTAAGGAAGGAGACTGAGAATGAGTAGTTCCATAGAGAAATGATTGACAATGATTGAGGAAGGTGGCCATGTTGTTGGATGACGAAGGAAGAAGTTACAAATAAAAAAGAGAAGATATATATATATATATATATATATATACATAGGAAGAAAAGGATGAGCAATTTAACCATTTCACGGTGAATTTCACACATTTATGATTTTTGTTTTCACCTTTTACTATAAAAATGATTTTCCACAAATTTTAAAACATTCTCTCTTTTTTTCCCATAAGATTGTGGTTAATGCACATCAACATTGTAACAACCCTCACTTTACTCTAGTCATGCTTGCATGTATTTACATGATCTTGTCTTGTTAAGTTGCATTTGCAAACCTTGATTTGTTTCGCATAAGTGTTGCTTACATGCCTTGTTCCTTGCTTGGTGTGAGTTTGGCCGAGGTCATCTTAAGCCTAGGTTACACCTTTGAACTTCTTATATCTAGGACCATCTTGGAACCACTTTGGTTGACCTCAACCCTCACCCTAACATGTTGGCCGAGATGTCATTATCTAGGCCGAGGTGTTCATCACCAAGGCCGACATGTGTATTATCTAGGCCGAGATGTTATACCAAAGTGATCTTGTTCCTAGACTGGTACGACCTTGACTGAGGTGTGGCACAGCTAGGCCAAGTGTTGTCCTTTCTAGCCGAGATCATTGAGACCTTACTTGCCGAAGCTTTGTCCTAGCCGAGATCATTACCGCCGAAGTGCCCCTGTCACCTTACTTGTTGCTTACACTTTGTCATGCTCTTGTCTTATCAATCTATCACCTTTTTGAGGAGATCCAATCAGCCGTTGCCACGTGTCCCAATAGAGGGTTAAGTCAGCCGGCAGAGTTAGAAATATATCATTTTGTGTCATATCTTTTGCATGATAGAGAGAGAAGCTCTAGGAAGAGGAAAGGAAGTTGGAGTGAGAAAGCTAGATCACAAGCTTGATCTTTAGAGTTTGAGCCGTTTAATCCGTGTTTTGAGGTTAGAATCTTGATTTACTTTTGTTATTCTTTATGTTGAGCCGATTTCATTGCATGATCTTGCATGATTCATGAGCCATGCATTGTTTTAAAGCTTGCTTTAGAAAGAGAAAATGATGTTCTTATGTTCTTGAGATAAAACCATATTTTGATCCGAAAGGTTGTAACAAGTTCCATGTTTTTGTGTTTGTTTCCATGAAATCTTCAAGTATGGGTGCCCAGGTCCATGTTTTCAAACTCATCTCATGAAATCTCAAGTTTTGAATAAAGAAGTTATGATTTTAGCATTCATATTCTTATTCTTCATGTTCTTATCCTTCATGTTCTTCAAGAGGGAAATCCAGATTTTCCCAAACTTCATTTCCTTGAAAGTGGTCGTCGGGAACACACCTCGGCCAAGAGGTGTGGGACCTCAGCCTAGACCTGGTTAGTACCCAGCATGTTTTCCCGAGATGAAAAGGCAGTGTTGTAACTTCCAGCATGTTTTTCTTTGTTTTGACTTGATTTTATAAGGAATGTCGAGATCCTTTCCTGTCATGTAAAGCTTGTTTTAAGGATGCATTTCATATCTATCTTTGAGCATCTCACCTTGTCTTCTTGAAATGCATTCAATGGGATTTATTATGTACTTGTAGGCCTTGGATCCTTGCTTGTAATTCCTACACCCGAAGAACTATGTGAGTGATATTTTTAATAAAGTTATGTTATAATGTTTTGATAAAAGTTTTGCTTCGCTTTGTTTTGGGAAAGTATTTGATCAAGCATGAATGATTGTCCCTAGTTTTGTATCTAGTATTATCTTTGTTTTGATGACATCTTGGGAAAGTCCTTAGTGTCAGGGGACTATAATGCAACTGCACCCTAGTTTTGGAAGTCCTTAGTGCCAGTGGACTATAATGCAACTGTACCCTTGTTTTGCCATTGACGGTTTTCCGTGTGGGTTTGTTTGTCCGGAATGTCATCCTTTGGTATTATGTAGATGTTATTAACATCCAAGAAGCTTTGAAAGATTTGATAGATGAACTTGATTCATCCCTTTGATTTGTAAAGTTATGATATGTATTGTTTTGGAAAAGATCTCAGATATCATTCATTCAAACCTTTATTACTTATACCATTCACTGAGTATCCAAGCTCACCCTCTCTATATATATGTAGGTGACAAGCAGGAAGACAGCAACGCCTAGATGATTATTTGCAACTTGTTTTGGATTTGCATTTTTGTAGCATCTTGAAGATCATGCTTCTTGGCTTCTAGTTTACTTCTTTTGTTTATGTAGGCTTGAGAAGCCTTTTGATCAAGATGTATTTTGTACTTTATTTTAATTGTATTCAAGTTGTTAGACCTTGATAAGTTGTATGTCATTTCATTTAATCTATGCACAGCTCTTATGGACTAATTAGATTTAAATTTATTGTTTCCGCACATGTAGGCCCATATGTATATTCTGATTGTGTGTGAATCTTTGTAAGTTGGCCTTTGGTAATCTCGGATTACTGGCCATCACGGCACCAGTCTACTAGGGGCGGAATGGGGTCGTAACAGATTGGTATCAGAGCATGAGTTTCTCATAGTATGTTATTCACACACTTTGAGTCCTAAAGAGCTTAGGATTTCCCTTATAATGATATTAGGATTGCATCATATTGCTTGCTACTTGACAAGATGTGCATCATCTCGGTATGATCATTTGTTACTTGCATACATGTCTATTTGCTTATTTTGTTTTAAGAGTCACATTTTGCATACTTCTAGCATCATGAGAAGGGGTAGACCTCCAGTTGGCCGAGATCATTCTGAGGACAGA